ATCCTAACAGTTGGATCTCCTCGGTTAAAATAGGCAGGCATTGATTTTTATGAAGTCACATACAATAACTAATATCATCATCATCCATATAAATTAATATTGAAAATAAATGACATGAAGTCCTTATTTATTTAAAATGTGACATTTTGTGTTGTGTGTAGGGCCTTAGTCTTCCTGAAGTTCTTGTGGAAACTGAAAGGCGTGGGACATCTTTTGATGAGTTGTTGGCAATTCCCGAGCAGGACGATTGGATATACACTGATGGGAAGTCAACATCATGCATTGCTTTCATTCTTGAAATGTACAAGGAAGCAGGATTATTTGATCCAATTGCAAGTTCCATCCAAGTAACCGAGTTCACGGTGAGTTTGTTGTAAATATTCAACTTTATTAGTTTTAATTAACAGCATTTTCAATTTTACTTTGTGCAATTAATGTTGCATGATAAATAGATAATGAATTTTTATAGAAATGGCTTATACCTAAATCCACTATTTAGGTGGTTCAAACTAAGGAATTTAAATGCAATAGACTGGATGTTCTCTGACTGCACCCTCACAGTTTCACCTGAGTTTGCATTGTTTTTCGCTGATAAGAATTGTTATTATCTTTATCTGCAGGCACATTGCTTTGAACTCATTTGTATATAGAAAATTAAGGGAATTAAATTTAAGTGTACTATCCTGACGTGTGAAATAAAACCTTGAACTGTTGTGGCTAAATCTGGATGAACTGAAATTGATTCTTGGGAAGGTGAATTTTACATATAAATGCTTTGTTAATATTTTATCTTGTCCAAACCGTGCAGATAAAAGATGGCTACACTCTCAAGTTCTTCGAGAACAATTCAAGCCGCCTGCCTAAATGGTGCAATGATGCGGACACTGTGAAGCTCCCATTCTGCCAAATTAAAGGGAAGTATCGAATGGAACTACCTGGATACAATACCATGGATCCATACCCCCATATGAATGAAAAGTGCCCATCTCTGCCTCCAAAATATGACAGGCCTGAGGGTTGTTGAAAGTTTTCTGATTTGTTTTTCCTGTTTAGGAGTTGTCATACCGATGTTTTGTACAGTACCGGGTTGTTTTGATTGTTCATTCATGTATGTCCACCTTGTGTTGTATGATGCAAAAGAAAGAAGTATGTCAAAAAACTGTTAGTCAACACAGGTTGATGTTTTTTTTTTTTTTTTTGTAAATTTGGCTACTGCTTTTTTTTTGCGTGTAAATTTGGCTACTTCAGTACCAATAATGTCGATGTAATTGTTGTAAGTAGGTTTATCAAAAGAGTGGGTATTTGGAAAATAATATATTAATGTTCCTTATCCTTGTGCCTTTGGAATCATGTGTATGTTGGGATTATCTTTAATGACTGCCTTAGTGGGGAAAAAGATAAAAGAGATGAGAGAAAATAACTCTCGTACTTTTTTTTGACAAGAAATGTCATTTAGTTGGACTTTCTTCTTTTTTTCGGGGAGAAGTTAAATAAATACGTTGACATAGACTTTTAAAATAAATATATAAATAAATACTAAAACTTAGTTAAGTGACTATGGAGTGTTTTGAAAATATAGTTAAAAGTTAATTTTTTTAATTTTTAAAAAAAAAAAATGTGTAAAAAATATAAAAAATGATATAATTCAAAATAAATTAAAAATTAAAAAATGACTGTTAAAAGGGGCATAGGTTTATCCTATCATTTTGGCTTAGCATATTCTAAGACCAACTTCACATCCTAAGGTTAACGGTTCGCTATGTAGCTTGTAATTCCAAGCTCGAAATTGGCTCGAATCTAAAATGACGCCGCTTTGGATTTTTTTCTTTTTCTTTTCTTCTTTCTTTCTATTTCCATAACTTGCAGAAGAAGAAGAGAAAAGAAGAGGTGAAGAAAAAAAAATAGTGCAGAGACACAAACACACAGAGATCTGGAACGCACGCACATAAAAATCAAAGAAACCCACATACAAATCCATGAAACACACACACACACATACGTATAGAAGAGGAGAAGCGGAGAAAAGAGAGGGTGGCGACGGAGGTGGTGTAGTGGCGATAGTGGTGGTGGCGATGGCGACGATGACGACGTGAGAAGATCGATCGGCTTCTCCCTCCCTCTTCTCTCTTTCTTTTCTCTTCCTCTCTCTTCTCTCTCTTTCTCTCTTCCTCCCTCCCTCTGCCTCTGTTTCACAGATACAGATAAAAGAGGAGGAAAAAAAAAAAATTCAAAACGATGTCATTTTGAATTCCGACCATTCGAGCCCAACAATTTCGAGCTCTGAATCATTTTCCTAAGATTAAATATTGTGATGTGATGCGTAGATTTGAAAGAAAAAAAGAAGTAAGGAAAAAAAATTGGATTCAAATTCTCAATTCTTTTCTTTCGAAACTTTTTTTTAACAAGAAAGGTCATATGGTTGGACTTTCTTCTTTTCTTCGGGGAAAAGTTACACAAATAAACACGTTGATATGAACTTTTAAAATAAACAAATAAATAAAATATTATAACTTAGCTAAAAAATTATGGAATGATTTGGAAAGATGATTAAAAATTAATTTTTTAAAAAATATATATAAAAAATAATATGACTTAAAATAAATTAAAAATTAAAAATTAAAAAGTAGATTTTAACTCAATTACTAAAAGAAGGCTAGGTTTATTCTATCATTTTGGTTTAACATATTTTAAGACCAACTTCACATCTAAGATTAAATATTGTGATGTGATGTGTCAAATTTGAAAAAAAAAAAACAAAAACAAAAATAAAAACATCGGCAATGGTGGATAGGTGGGTACGTGGACGTGAGTGTCCAATTTTTTTCTTAAATTGGCATTTGAACTTCTTTAATTTTTAGATTATGATTATACCGAATAAAAAAATATTTAAAATATTATATAAATGGAATATCAAAAATACACTAATTTTTTACAATATTTTTTCATAAATATTTTATAATAAATATTTTACTATTTAAATACATCTGAGTAAGATGCATCTAAAAAAGTAAAAAAGTTTCTTAAAATTTTAAAAACATTCATTCCAAAACAAAAAATTAAAAAAATTAAAAAAATAATTTTAAAAAAAAACGAATTCAAAAAATTAAAACTAAACACACTGACTATTATTTAAATGTATTTAAAAAAGTGGATCGTTAAAAATTAAAAGTAATTTTTAACTCAACTCCTAAAAGATAATTAGTTTTATTCTATTATTTTGACTTAACTTATTTTAAGACCAACTTCGCATACTGAGATTAAAAGGTTATTTTCAGATGATCTAAATAGATATATTTTTTAATTTTTTATGAAATATGAGTTGTGTATGGGTTGAATTTGAAGAGATGTAATAGAGAGGTGATGTGACTTAAATAAGATGATGAAACTTAAATAGAACAGTAACTTTTTAACTTTTTAAATTTTTTATTTTATGTCAAATAAGGCCTAAATATTGTGATGTGATGTGTAAAATTTGAAAAAAAAAACAAAAAGAAAAACATCAACAATGGTGGATAGGTGGGTACGTGGATGTGAGTGTCCAATTTATTTCTTAAACAACAATGATTCATATTACTAAAAAAAAGATTATTAATAATATTAATGTGTAGGAAATGTGAAAAAAAGAAAAAGAAAAAAAAGAGAGGCATAGATAGTGGCCCCACTGTCACGTCATAGTAGTGTTATTAGAGTATCACTTTTAGTGTTCTTAATTATTTTTCTTTCCTAAGTTGGTTGTTGAACATCCTTAATTTTTAAATTATGATTACACTGAATAAAACAATATTTAAAATATTATATAAATGGCTCTTGGTGTTTAAAAATAAAATCAAATATTTAAAATACAATTAATGTTAGTAGCAACAAATATTCATGAGATTTTTTTAGGTAGGGGAATATTCATGAGATTTTTTTAGATATGGAAATATTCATGAGATCGTCGTTCACCAGAGCTCAAGTGAATGGGAAGATATGGGAGGAAAGTCTGTTTTGCTGTGTTGAATGAAATTCAAATTATTATTATTATTATTAATATTATTATTATTATTATTTTGTTAGTTAATCTGATTTGAGCCGTAGATTTGATTAGGGAGTGGCGTGGTCAAATCCTTACCGTTATCCGGACTCCAATTATTGTGCTTAGGTTCCTTTATTTGGTTTAAAATTTTGTAGTCCAATATTTAAAAATTAAGACAATAATTTTCACAAATTTTTGTAGTCTAATATTTTATAATCTCAATATACATTAAAATTTTTTTTTTCTATATTCCTCTTGCAGGTTGAGGGTTGAAATGGAAGTTGTGGCAGTGGAATGTTTCGACGATAAGGGGCTATAGGGGTGGTGGGTTGGAGGAGTAGGGGTTGCGATGGTGGCTAAGAAAGAGGGTTGTGGTGCTTGTAGTTGGTGACAACAAACAAAGATTAAAAATGAGGGAAGAGAATGTGATAGGTAAGGGAGAGGTTGCAATAAAGACGAGAGGCGGTTGGAAGTTAGAGTGATAATAGTTAGAGTTAGAATTTGTTAAGAAAAAAACTAATTTGGTACTTTTTTTCGTTTCAAAATATTAATTTTTTTTTTCATTATTTTAAAATATTAGTTTCATTTCAAGAATTAAAGACAAAAATATGAATTTTCTATTTTGCTTTTATTTTAAATTTATTAATAATATAAAAAGTACAATTATGACAATTGATATTTTTTAAAAAATATACTATCAAAGAGTAGTTTTGAAAAATTAATTTTTTTAAAGTATAATAATTGCACTATTAAAAAAAGTTAAATTTTATTAAGTATTATTTTAAAAAATATTATGTATATTAAGTTAAAATTAAATTTTTAAATTTGAGTGTTGGGTAAATTGATTAAATAACAATAAGAAGGATACGTACCGTATGTGACGAGACAACTAGTCGTATCACCTAATTAATTCACATCTAATTTATTGACAAAACGACAGTTTTTTCGAAATATACCAAACAAAAATCCGAATGTACCATGATGATCCAGTCGCACAGCTGATGATTGGATACTGAAGTAAAAGCTTGTACATGGTAACCTATCTGCACCAAACAATTTTTCCATCACCGGGGAGGAGAGGGAGAGAGAGAATCGATATATGCTACTCTCCCGCCCCCCCCTCTCTCTCTCTACAGTTGGTTCCTTCAACCAACAACCATGTCACTCTGTTTCTCTTCTCTTCCCTGCACAACCCATTACCTCCTCGTCTTCCTCACCATGTCGAGCCTATTCACATCAAACATTCATGGCTTGAAAGCACCATTTCGTCCCAAAGACATGCTACCATTGTTGCCAAAATCAGTGTCGTGGCCTATTCTGAATTCTCTCCACAGTGCAGTCGACATTTTGCCCACTTTCGTCGGCGCTGTTTCGTCCCCAAACGACATCGTGGAGTGGAAAGGGGCTTGCTTCTACAAGAACAGGGCTTGGATGGTGTTCCATAACAAAAGTAAAACTGAATTTGGCGGAGGCACTCTTCATATCAAGGTCTGTACACTCTTGGGTTTTCTTTGCTAGTTTTGTTTAGTGCTGATTTGCTTTCAATTTTTTCGAAATTTTGAGGATTGGGTATGTGGGTTGCCATTTTTTTGCTCAACTTTTGGCTTGAATTGAAGCTTTTGTGAATCTTATTTTAATGGGTTGTCGAGAACTGAGCTTCTTTTTGATTATTTATTTATTTATCCTTTCGTCATAAATCTGATTGGTGATTGGATATTGGATATCTGGGTATTGATGTTGTTGAGAGTTCAGTTTGAGTTTTTTATTCTTCAAGGACTTGTGATTGAATATCGAGTTAATTTTTTGTCAGCTGATCTTTTGGCAGTTTGGATTATTGGGTATCTGGACAGTTTCTTTTGTTGTATTGGTTGTTCTTGTGACTTTTCTGTCCACGGATGGTCCTAGTTTTGGTAGTTAAAATCAAACATTGCTAAGGCCATTCACACTATTGGAGTATTGGTCTCATATTTGGGATTTTTGTGGCTTTCGTTTTTGGTGGAATTTCTTCAATGGTTTTTTTGTATGTTTTTGGTGAGCAGAAAATGAAATTGATTTGGCTTATATATCGGTTGGTCATTTGAGGTTATTGGTTGTTTTTGTTGAGATGATGGGAAAAATAATCAGTTTGTTTGGTTTTAGTTTCCGGAAAACACTTTTTTGAAAATTTTACATTTGTATTTTCCGTATTTTTTTTGTTTCTAATAAATTTTTTTAATTTTTAGACACACCTAACCTAAATACACTTAAAAAGTATAATATTTGTAAAAAAAAAAAAACTTAAAAAAATTCACTAAATATCAAAAATACAAAAAAATATGAAAATTCAGTACATTTTTCGTATTTTTGTGTATTTATTAATTTTTTAAAATATTTTTTCACAAATATTTTATTATTTAGATATATCTAAGTAAGGTGCATCTAAAAAAGTTAAAAAATTGCTTAAAATTTTAAGAATATTCACTAAAAATAAAAAACACGAAAAATAAAAAACTCAATTTTTAAAAAACTAAATTCAGAAAACTAAAACTAAACACACTGAATAGTGTTGATTTTTGTATGTAAACAGTTTCATTGTGTTTGATTTTTGTTATGGATTGACCTGTAACTATAGAAAAATAATAGTGCTGAAATATTTAAGTATATAATTAGTAAAATTAAAAATTCAAATATAATTGTGTTAACCACCATTGAGCAAGCAATATATAAACCAGTAACAACCAAATTTGATGGCACTGTTTGACTTCTTGCCTCTTATTACATCCATGGGGTTTTCTAAGTGAATTGTAATTTCATATACAGCTAGTAGAATTATGGATGTATCAGTTTTAAACTCCTTCAACAATGCTACTACTCCAATTACTTGTATCTCTTTTTCTTCATCTTCAGGTTAGCAATGCCCACAGCTGGACATGTATGGATCTTTATATCTTTGCAACTCCATACCGTGTGACATGGGACTACTATTTTTTAGGCCGTGAGCATACCCTTGAGTTTAAGCAGTGGGAAGGAAAAGCTGAGTATGAATATGTAAGTTGCCACTACTTTTTGAAAATTGCTAGACCAGTTTGTTTTGAAGCATACATTTCTTTATAGATGATGTCTTTACTTGCTATGAGAACAGGTGAAACATAAGGGTGTTTCAATTTTTCTCATGGAAGCGGGAATGCTGGGAACCCTTCAAGCGCTGTGGGATGTCTTTCCCTTGTTCACAAATACTGGATGGAGTGAGAGTTCAAACATTGATTTTCTCGAGAAAAATATGGGGGCTTCCTTTGTAAAACGTCCAGAGCCATGGGTTACAAACATTAGTTTTGATGATATTCAGTCTGGAGATTTTCTTGCACTATCCAAAATCCGAGGACTATGGGGTGCTTTTGAGACTCTAGAGAAGTGGGTCACGGGTGCTTATGCTGGTCATACCTCTGTCTGCTTAAAGGATTCTGAAGGAAAGCTATGGGTTGCAGAATCTGGACATGAAAACGAGGAGGTAATGCCCTACAAGTTGCCTTGATTCAACAACTCCTTTAACCTAAAATTTAAGCTCACATCACAATTTTATTGCAAAACTTGAGATATGGAATTTGGGTAGTTTTTTCACTCAAATATATTGTAATATGTCTATATGGCATAGGATGTTAACCATAAAAAAGAAATATCATGTCTGATTTCAAATTTTAGGAATGAATAATTTGAGGATTTGTTATGGAATGGCTATGTTACATGGTCTCTTTGCTGATCAAAAAAATGTTGTATGGTCTGTTCTAAATATATATACACTTGACACTTTAGTATGGGTATGGGATACATGTTCGACATGTGTATTAGGATGTTCACCCAGCAAACATATTTAATAATTCAAGTTTATAACTGGGCACAGAACTCTATATTATGCATGAAATGTTATGTGGCACCTTGTAAACACCATTAATCCTATAAAATAAAAAAAGTATATTAAGAAATATGAATATTTTGTTGTGCCCCATGTTGTTGGACATGAGAACTAGATGAATCAAACACAGAGATGTACTCACTCCCAATACCGGTACTCGAATCCGTGTAACATAGATAATAGTTTATCATGTAATGCACTAAAGATTCCCAGCTGGCTTCATTATAAAAATTGTGTAATATTCTAGAAAACATTAAAAAACAAAAAAAAAGAAGAAGACTACTACTAAAATCTTGTTGACAAACTGCTTGCAAAATTGTTTTCGGATTCTTAAAATGCCCCATTTTGGGGAACAACATTAAATTGTTTTCTGAATTCTCAAAAAATGTTTTCATATGGACATGAAACCAATAGGAAAATAATAGTGTTTTTGAGTTTCACATCATTTTTGTTTCCAAAAACATGAAAGACAAAAAATGGGGAAATTTTTTGAAAATAAAACTTTTGAGCTCTTTCTAACTTGGAATCCAGTGGTTTCTACACTTGTAGTTACTAGCATGCATACATTCATAATGCATTTGGATGCAACATGATCTTTAATGATCCTGTTCATTTACTAGGTACCTCACATCTGTTGGATAGTGGCTTCCTTGAGATATTGGTAGGGTTCTGATGTATGAAACCCAGCCAAGCTTATCAAATTACTTTTAGCTGCCTATTTTGTATATTAATGATTTATTATTTCCTTAGATGAGCACGGTAGTGTGTTTTATTGTTTTTGTATGTCATTTGGTACATTGTACTTCTGCATCACATTTTTTTGATAAACATGCAAACTTTACATTGGTTATTATTAGTTCAATATTGGAGCCATTTTAAAGCAAATATGACTTGAATCTAATGTAAAATTGGTGTTTCACATTTTTGTTTCAGGGACAATATATCATTGTTATTTTGCCATGGGATGAATGGATACTCAGTCAAGATGATAGCAATTCACATATTGCATTGCTTCCTTTGCATCCTGATCTCCGGGCTAAATTTAACGAGACTGCTGCTTGGGAGTATGCACTAAGCATGGCCGGCAAGCCTTATGGTTTTCATAACCTGATATTTAGCTGGATAGACACTATTGATGGGAACTATCCGCCACCCTTGGATGCTCATTTGGTAATGCATTTATGGCCTTTTAAATTTTATTGTTTGGGGTGAGTTTGCAAAGTAAGTGGATGCTATACACTTTTTTCCATTTTTTTTTTCTTTACATTTCTGTGGTTGTGTCGTATGGTTTGGGATAATTTGATGCTTCAAAGAATCATGTTCCGGCCATTAGATCTTTAAAATTTTATCCTAAGACCTATGGGTCATGTTTGATTCACAAGATTAATAGTGAAGTATTAATAATCCTATTAAATTAGTGTGGTATTCACTATCCAATTGGATTAATATCCATTGGATTAATAATCCCACCCCTACCCCATTACTAATAATCCTACAAATTTGTTGGATTAATTATCCATTGGATTAATAGTCCTAAACCCAAATGTTAAAACAAACATGGGATAATTGGGCCCACGGATTAATAATCCCAATCCCATGCTCTAATCTATCCAATCAAACATGCCCATGAGGTATAATTGATTATAAACAATATTTTTAGTTATTTTTGAACATGTAACATTGCATGAGCATTAAGAACACTATGTAAATGCCACTTGAGAGGTGTAGAGCAGATGGCTCAGGATCACACCTCAAGAAGCTGGAATCTTAAGTTTAATTGATTTTGGCTATGGTTTTTATCATGAATTTGGGTAAGGATTTGTAAAGAGAAAGGAAAATGTGAGGAACGTAAATGAAATATAAGATAATTTTTTCTACATTTCCCTCGCCTTTTTCATTTTCTTTCCAAATCCCTATCCATATCCATGATCAAAACACTGCCTCTGTCACTTCTTTCTGTTGTATACTAGGCACCATGATGTTTTTATTTTCATTTAATTGTTTCGATTTTCAACTTTGTTATGGTACAGGTTGCTTCTGTTATGACTGTTTGGAACCAGTTACAGCCTGATTATGCTGCTAATATTTGGAATGAAGCCTTGAACAAGCGACTTGGAACTCAGGTATTATTACAATTTATTCCTCATTTTGTTGACCAAAAGTTCATAATGGTTTGCTTATTGAAGCAGAGTCTAAATGGTTGGGATCCTCGTGAGTGAAAGAGGATGCATATTGTTGTTATCAGTTTGGGGCCTCTTACATTGATGAATGGGATATCAAGCATCAGTATATCTGTTGTATTTATTGATATGAAAATGAAGACTCTGTGGTGAAGACCCCATTGGAAATTTTTGGTATTGGCAGCTCATGAGATTAACTGACGTCCTATTGGGCCAAATATAGACAAAACAGCTCAATCCTAATGAGCAAGTTATTGAATGTCCTCCGCAAAATAGACAGGCATTGATTTGGATGAAATCACATACGATAACTGATATCATCATGCATGTAATATTTAAACTAAATGAAATGTTGTCTTTTTGTAATTTAAAATGTGACTTTTTGTGTTCTGTGTAGGGCCTTAGTCTTCCCGAAATTCTTGTGGAAACTGAAAGGCGTGGGACATCTTTTGATGAATTGTTGACGATTCCCGAGCAGGATAACTGGGTTGTTAAATTTGATGTATGGAAAAATAGAGAGAATGAAATATGTATTGATAATTGATATTATTGATTGAGGTATTGTTACAAGATTGATTGATTTGTGTTATGTATTACAACTCCTATATATAGAAGAGAAGGTGGTAGTAGGTGTAGTGTAGTGTAGTGGAGGTGGTAGGTGAAGTGGGTGCTAGTGGAGATGGTAGGTGGAGGAGCAAATTGGTAAATTCTAACAGCCCCCCGCAAACTCAAGGAGGATAGAAACTAACCAACTTGAGTTTGGAGAGAGGAACAAAAACAAGAAAATACATAAAAATAAAAAAAGTGATATGATTCTACTTGAAGGCATAGCTCTACAGGCTTAGAAGTTTGTAATGAATGTGTGTTAAAGTTGCAGCACAACACAGTGACTTCTAATTGAATGAAAAATATATTCTCTAAATAGGAAAAAAAAAATTTAAACATGATTTATACAACCAATCGCAAAAATTGGTATAAGACTTGGATTAGTTGAATCCTATTATATTTATAAAAAAAAAAAAAAATTACAGTTATGTAAAATAAGTTTTCTATGTAATTGCTGCATAGACTGTAGATGAAAAAAGAAGCTCAAGAAACATTTTGAGATATTTCAAAGATCTGCTAGACTTGCAGTAAAGAGGGAGCCTTGTGCATTGGGCATGATCTTTGTTTATTGGGATTATGGTTTTATTTTTTTTTTCTTGCTCATAATTTTGAGATATTGTCTTGCAGGCAAGATTGTGCGTTCTCCTCATGGTGTTATGCATGGAAAAAGTTCCCTTGTCTATCATAATGAGGGTGGGGAAGATGGCCTATTTTCTGGGTTATCAAAGTAGGTTATTTTGTCATTATGTCATTTAGTTAGTGATTATTACTTTTATTCAATTTAGATATTGCTTATGGTCAGGCTTCCACATTGAGTTATATTAAAATACTTTGTAAGGTATGACTTACCTAGAGTTAAATCAATTTATTGTTTCAAATACATTAGCAATTTGGTTGACATTGCCTCATGCTGCACAAAATTAGACTTTCATACTTTCAGTATAATGTCTCAAAAGCCTAAAATTTCTATTATCCTAGAGGTATGAACTCCTCCTAAAGTCAAGTTCTCCATATTATTATGATTGAATTGTGTTAAATTTGATGTATGGAAAAATAGAGAGAATGAAATATGTATTGATAATTGATATTATTGGTTGATGTGTTGTATTACAAATCAGAGTAGCTCATTATATAGGAGAGGGTTTGGGTAGTAGGTGAGGAGTAGGTGAGGGTAAATTGGTGGTAGGTGTAGTAGGTGTGGTAGTAGGTGGTGGTAGGTGTAGGTAAATTCTAACAAATTGTATATGAAAATAACTCTTCTAGTTTTGTTAATCTCATTCTGTAGGTGAGGAGTAGGTGAGGGTAAATTGGTGGTAGGTGTAGTAGGTGTGGTAGTAGGTGGTGGTAGGTGTAGGTAAATTCTAACAGTCCCCCGCAAACTCAAGGAGGATAGAAACTAACCAACTTGAGTTTGGAGAGAGGAGTAAAACAAGAAAATACATAAAAATAAATAAAAAAAAAAAGATAGGAGACACTGTATGGTCGTGTCAGATGTAAAATTGTGATCGGGGTTGAGCCCCTGATATGAATAAAATGACAAGGTGTGATGTTGTGAATGTTGTTTTGTGTAATAAGAAAAATAAAATAAAATAAAACAATGGATAAAAAAAATAGAGAAAAATATTTGTGGATGGGGGATAAGAAAAATAGTGGTGTATGTTTTTTTTTTTTTTTTTTTTTTTTTTTTTTTTTATAACAAAAAAAAAATATATATATATATATATATTATAAAATAAAAGAAAATGGTGCAATCGTGGGTGGAAGAAAGTAAGGGAAATGAGGGATATAATTGAAGGGGGTTTGAAAAAGTGGGAAAATGTGATGATAGTGGTGAGTGGAGCATAATGTAGAATAGAAAAGGTGTATATAATAATAAGAAGAAAAGTGAAATGGGTTGTCGGTGGAATAGAAAAAAATAAATAAATAAAGAAGAAGAAGATAATGGAAAACGGGGGAGGCGCACGAAAATATATATATATATATATATATAGAATAAAAGAAAAGAAAAGGGAGAAATAAAGTAAGAGAGAGTGGGGTGATATGATATTCTACAAGAACTGAAGCCTTCAGCTCGGCAGGGACGGCTCCGGGTTTCGAGGGTCTTCATCATTGGTGCCCTCGTCACGTCCTGCGGAATGGGCCTCACCACTGGTTGCACTTCATCAGATGGAAGAACCCTAGTCAAGGCGAGCCAGGACGAGGGAGGGAACGGCAGAGGCGGCGATGGCGGAGGCGACAGCGTAGCGCTGCTGGTTGACGTGGATGCGGCGGTGCCAGCGGCGCCAGATCTGGGCGGAGCGAACATGCGGCCGCCGCGGCACAGGTGTCCGAAAGCACCTTGGCCGGCGCGGTGAGTGCCGCCGCCGGGAACACGGGGGTGTAGCATGGCTCCGTGGGCATAGCAGCATTCGGACTTGGTGGGTCGGTTGGTACCGGCACAGTGGGATTTTTTTTTTTTTTTTCTTTTCTCTTCTCTCTCTGAACTTGATCTCTCTAGCTGGGTCTCTACACACATGGCATATGCATATACATGCACACTCAGGCACACACACACTGCCACCAATTTCACCACTCGTACACACATCCACACCATTGACACACACACACTCAACACGCCACTGATACACAGAACCACAACGCATACATGCACTTGAGGTCCGGCGGGCAGCTAAGGTGAGGTTGCCGCCCGCCGGGAAAGCGAAAATATTAGGTTCTAAACCCGCTCTGATACCATGTTAAATTTGATGTATGGAAAAATAGAGAGAATGAAATATGTATTGATAATTGATATTATTGATTGATGTATTGTTACAAGATTGATTGATTTGTGTTATGTATTACAACTCCTATATATAGAAGAGAAGGTGGTAGTAGGTGTAGTGTAGTGTAGTGGAGGTGGTAGGTGAAGTGGGTGCTAGTGGAGATGGTAGGTAGAGGAGCAAATTGGTAAATTCTAACATGGGTATACAGTGATGGGTTGTCAACGTCATGCATTGCTTTCGTCCTTGAAATGTACAAGGAAGCAGGAATATTTGGTCCACTTGCAAGTTCCATTCAAGTAACGGAGTTTACGGTTAGTTTGTTGTGAATATTCAAATTTATTAAATTAAATAATAGCAGTTTCAATTTTGCCTTGTGCAATTAATGTTGCATGATAAATAGATAATGAATTTTGATTGAAATGGGTTATACGTAAATCGACTATTCAGGTGTTTTAAACTTTAAACTATTCCAAGCTGTGCAATAGATTGGATGTTCTCTAACTTCACCCTCACATTTTCACCTGAGTTTGCATTGTTTTCCATTGATAAGAATTGTTATTATTTGCAGGCACACCGCTTTGAACTCATTCATATACAGAAAATTAAGGAATTTATGTTTATTTATTAAAACATACCCACATATACATAGATGCCTCTCATAACTATGTTTCCTAAATTTATATTCATTTACGGTGGTAAATAAAAATATATAAAAAATATACCATATCCCTATTGTGTCCATATCCTAATTGTTTGAGAATCACTAGGTCCCTTGTCCATATCCATGCTTCTTAGATACTTTGTCAATGTTTTATCTTGTCCAAACTGCAGATAAAAGATGCTTACACTCTCAAGTTCTTTGAGAACAATTCAAGCCGCCTGCCTAAATGGTGCAACAACGATGGGGACCCTGTGAAGCTCCCATTCTGCCAAATAAAAGGGAAGTATCGAATGGAGCTACCGGAATACAACACCATGGAACTGTACTCCCATATGAATGAAAGGTGCCCATCTCTGCCTCCAAAATACTACAGGCCTGAGGGTTGTTGAAAGTCTTCTGATTTGGTTTTCCTGTTTAGGAGTTGTTATACCAATGTCTGGTGTTGTACCCAGTTGTTTATCATTGATTCGTGTATATACATCTTGTATTGTATGATGCAAAAGAAAGGAAGATGCCCAAAAGTTAGTCAACAGGGGTCAAAGTTGTTAGTAAATTTGGCAACCGCAGTACGCGTAACGTCGATGTTACTGTTGCAAATGAGTGAAATTGGGACAAAAAAATATTTTGTTCTTCATTCTTATGTGTTTAAAATCGCGTATAGTATGTTGAAATATCTTTAATGCTATCAACATCTGTAATGAAGGTTTCTATTGCCTTAATGTTGTGACTCTTGTTACTTTTTTAAAGGGGAAAGGTCATTTAGAGTCGGATTTTTTTTCCCTTCCTCGTTTAATCTCTTCTTGTCAGTTTCCCTTGGTAAGTTTTCGATATCTTGTATTTATTATAAACCAGAACATCAGAAACTTCGGGGTTTTTTTTTGTGTCTTTTTTTATAATTTTATTTTGTTGGACAGGAAATTAAATGATTGAAGTTTCAGTGATGATTGCGATTTTAGTCTCAGGTAGCAACCTATCTGTTGCAGAGTCTTTGACACTGTTGCTTGTTATTATGAATTGAAGTATTTGGTACTTACAAAGTTACAATTTGTAAGTACCAGAGTTTTTGGTACTTACAATTTATTTAGAAACAAGACCTAGTTTGGTTTTGTTTACTATATAACTAACTATATTAGTATGAGAATGGAACTTTGAATTAGCGCCTTATTGATGAACGGGACTGGTTGATTTATGGAAACATATGCTGTGGTTGAAATTCTGCCTCATAATGTGATAAAAATCATTTAGCACTTCACTATGTTATACATAATTTATCATTTTAATTTGGAGTGATTTAATATGTAAAGCTGTATCTACATGGAACATTGGTAAAATTCAAACTGTCACTTTGGAACTGTCTGCAACATAAATTTATCCATACCAACACAATCAAATCCTCGACAACACAATCAATTGATCTGTATGAAACTGTTTCAGTGGCATCAGTTATTTTTCTCGTCTTAATAATGGTATTTAGGTTTATACGAAACTGTTTCTACGGGAAGGATAGCATTTCATCTCATAAACAGGCTTGACATAAAACACACTATTTAGTTATTAGTAGCTCATAATTTGATTACAGTAGTTTCTTTGGCTCAATTTGGATTGGAAGTCCTTGTGTAGGTATCGGCATTGGATCTCTACTGAAACTATTGTCAGTGTAGCATAACTTCCACCTGAATTGAGTGACCAGGTAATGGATTGAGACTAAAGTTTCGATCCTTGCAAACTTGTATCCCGGACAAATACGAAGTCCGCCTCCAAATGAAACAAAGCTGTAAGGAGGTAGAGTTGCTTGGTTCTCAAACCTTGCCGGATCAAACTTCGATGGTTCTTGGAATATGTTTGCGTCCATGTGAGTCATGCTTGTAGCCCAGAATATCTGGTTATCAATTGATATGTTGTCAGGTCCCAGTTTTGCTTGTCAGAAAGAAGTTGCAGGTATATTATCAAAATTGAAGAATCTGATGGTTTTTGTTTTTTTCACTTACTTGCCATCCTTGAGGAATGAGGTAACCACCGTACTCGACGTCTTCCAAAGTCTTCCTAAATCCTCCGAAGATAGGCGGGAACATCCTCAGGGTCTCCATTGCAACTTTCCATGTGTACTGCATCTTGGCAAGGTCATCCCAGGTTAGTAACTCTCCCGAGGACTTACTTTTCGCTCTATCTTCTTGTTCTGCATACCCAAATAACAAACATCCAGTCTCATATAAGGATAGTATCAATGTTGTCAAGTTTTTCTTGTATGCTTCCCTTCAATTTGTATAGTTGCATGATATATAGTAGAGTATATCCTTATACTTTTCTAAAGATATCTATACTCTTATATAAAGCCTAAAACCAACTTGGGGTAGACATGCAAGGTTTATTTAATTTCCGAAAATGCCCACAAGAGCAGTTTTGCTGTAGATTTATTTATTTGATAATTTATTTTAAAAAAAATCTCTCAACTACCTTGATTGTAAAATTCATAACAATCTTTTCAATTGCAAATGTTAGTGTGCTTACCCTTCTAGTTTATAATATATGTATACATTTACATACCTTGAACAACACCTGCATGTATAGTTGGATCATTAGCCAAAAGGCGAACAATGAAAGTTAATCAGGACAGATGAAGTGTCATGTCCGGCAACCATGACAAGCATGACATTGTGCACAATCTCATCGTCAGATAATGCTTCTTCATTGTCTTTCCCTTGGATGTTGAGCAAGCAAGTGATGAGGTCTTGGTGGGATGAAGTGCCTTTCTGCTGTAGTTCAATCCTCTTCTTGCGTACAAGTTCTTTCAACATTACTTGGACCTTGGAACTTGCTCGTAAGCTGTGATTGTAGCGGGTGAAGGGCAAGTTGATTGGGATAGACCAAATTCTTCCTATCATTGCTTGGAAGCACTTGATGAGTTCTCTTCTTGCTCCATGTTCAATTCCAAATAGAAGGGAGCATATTATGTTGAATGTCAGGGTTTTCATCAGTGGTAACACCTAGAATCAACATCAGCTTTGTAAAACTCCTAATCTCTGTTGAACTTGCCTGTTTAATTGTGTTTTCGGGTTGTGTTTTTGTTAAAATCCACCTACTCTCCACCACCTACTTCACCCACTTAAACCTACTCCACTAAACCTAACCCACTACACCACTACCACCTCACCTACTCCACTAAACCTAACCCACTACACCACTACCACCTCCACTTTACCTACTCCATCTACCACCTACTACCACCTCCTCTTTTATATATAGGAATCATTGTAACATTCAAAATATATCAATATAAATCAATCAATAATACAATTCTCTATTTCTCTTTATACATTAAATTTCTACAAAAATAATATAGCTTATTATTTCCAACTAGTTGAGACTTGAGACAAGGCTTAGAGACAAAGATGAAGAGAACAATCAATAGGCTGATTACCCGTTGAAATTCAACATAATCCCATCACATCATTAACATACATATCTGTTAAAATCCACCTACTCTCTGAAGCTTGAGTAACAGCTTAGGGTATGATGAGCTATCATCCCTACAAGGAACAACTCCTTACGAACCATGTGAAATTGTCAATGCTGAAACTAAAAATTGCATGGGGATGTTGACATTTTGTCTCAAACCATTGACATTTTGATATCAATGCTGGAATTAAAAAATACATGAAGGCCTTATCTCTTTTGAATACGTTGCTAATCATCAAAGTCATGAGCAAGTTAGTAATACAAATTTACTAAAGAGTAACATTGTCTCAAAGACCAACACAGAATTCACTAATGAAGTGCGCACCATGTATTTGGGTGTCATAGAATGGGCGCACATAACACACACACAAAGTTCAAATATAGCACAAAGATGAGGTTTGGCATGCATTTATATGTTTTAAATTTAAGTGGCAAAGTTTCAGTTGATTATGTGGTCTTCAACTGGAGTGAATATTTTATATTTTCCTTGGCAATGGCAACAGTTCGTGGCCTCATTGTACCCACTTTTTTTTCTAACTAAACGGTAATCTATTCAAATCCCAACTTACTTGGGATTAAAAAACATTGCACAATCAACTGCTTTTTTAAGCATTATATTTCAAGAAAGGAAATGACTTCTATTGATAAAGATGCACCATTAAATTAAGCTATTGTGGTCTCTAATATCAGTACAACCCGTGACATTAACCATCACTGTACAATGAAAGCAACATGGTAGTTTTATATGCTAACCATTTTATTCCTGCTATGTATACGTGTATATTTTCAACACTTCAATAAAAGCATTTTCAGAATTTGCATCATTATTCAATTTGAATCCACTTAATCTTGTACCTTTTTATTGGAATTGGCTCTATATAAATGGAATCACAAAATCTAGAAGTTACAAACAAAAGAGAAAAGAGATAGAATGGAGGGGATTCATAGTGAGGGGATTGTTAGTGAGGGGATTAATAGTGAGGAATTGTTAAATTATTTTTATATAAAATAATAAAAAAAATATAAAAATATAAAAAATTAAACATTATATTTAAAAAAAATTCCCAATATAAAAAAAATAAAAAAAATTCTAATCCCCTCACTATTTTTCTAATACCATCTCTATCTCCTCCTTACCAATCCCCCTTCAAAGGGGACTACTAATACCAAGGGATTAATAGTCCCCTCCCCATCTCTCAAAACAAACACCCCATTAGTAATACCAAAGGATTAGTAATCCCAACCCCCTCCCTATAATCCCAAACAAACGGGGCCTGAGGGAAAAAAACAGAAGCACCAAAAAGCTATCACTATTGGCTGATTTGCAATCAATGAACTGTAAGCACAGACGTAATTTAGGAAGTTGGGATATGTATAGAATTGGTTGTAAAAGACAAAGAATTAGAGAGTTATTAAATTCTCAAAATCAACAAGAAAATGAGATATATAGACTAATGTAGAGTCATTTGGCACAAAATTCCAAGGCCTAGATAACCAAATAGCATGCCATAAAAAAGATGCAAAAACTTTGAGAAAGATGCAATCTCCATGTAAGAAGAACAACAAAAATAAATTTAAAAAACTGAATGCCATCAAAAACTTTTGACTGATAGTGGTACAATAAGGTGGCAATGTGTGTGGGGCTTTGTGTGTGCATGGGCACGTCTCAAAATCAGAAATGGAAGGCTTCTCCATGCTTAATGATGCTTTTAGTAGGCTGGTATTAGTTTTAGAGAGAAAAACAATAAACCCACCACCACATGTACACTTAAACCATTAGACAACATAATTGAAAGCTTGCTGGAATTTGGATATTTATAACCCTCTATATTTGGTTGCCAATAGTAATTGTATGTATATAACTATTGTTGCTGCAATTGTGAATGCTAAAATGTTTGGTGATTCCATTTGATTTAGTTTTCATATTAAGTTCACTGGTGGTAATTGAATTTGTCTACTCAATAACTCTATCTCCTTCAGCTCCTTATTCTTTTTGTTGTTATTTGTGCAGATTTGGTGATAGGATGAGCATATCTTCAATAGCATTATACAAATCTATTCACAACTAAGGCATCTTAAGGCTTGCTCTTAAGGACATGTGATGAAGAAGCAAAAAGAGATTACAAATTTCAAGATCTTGACAATCTGTAATTGACAATGTTATTTCAGTAAATCATATGTAAACATCAATTGGCATCTCATAATCACAAAGATAAGCAACAATGCATATTAACAAAATCAGTTGTCTCTCACAGGTCTATACCAATAAAAACTCAAAGTTTACTCTCTTTTTTGTATGCTTTTTCTCTTCGGGGCTTTCTATCAATTATTATTATAATTATTATTTTGATAAATCTTTCTATCAATTATTATAGCAATCTGTTAATTTTGTTTTCTTGTGGGTAAACTATATTTAAGCACTTTTGAATTATCATTTATTATGACTTCCATATTTCCTTGTTCTTTCTAATTCAATACAATCTGGGTTTGGTAGGTTTCTTTGTATATAGACATATATATACATAATCTCATAATTTTCAATTTTCAATTTTCAATTTTCAATTCTACAAGAAGTGCTTTAGTTTTTTTCAGTCTGTTTTTGGTTCTAGATTGTTCTTTGGTGTTTCTTTTTGGGAAGTTGTTAGTGAATTTAATGTTCTTTGGTGGTTTTTGCTAGCTTCCAAGAAACAAAGAAAACAACTTTCCTATCTGTCAGAATCCAATTTCGGTTTCAAAATTCAAAACCCATATTGAAAAAAGCTATCTTTTGCGTTAAATAACCTTTAATCTTGAAACCCTTTCGAGTTCTATCTATCTGAAGTTGTGAATTTATCAGAATGTTATGGTACTTTGACCATCAAATAATAGAATTTAAATTATTGAGACCCATTAATTTGCTGGTTTATAAATTGGGTTTGGCTTAATCAGACAACTAGTCAGGCATTTTGTCAAGCATATAGTGTGCATAATTTGTCTATTGCACTAACAAACAGCAATAAATACAAACAAACACCAATAAATACAAATTAGGTATCCATATCCCAATATAAGACAAACAGGCAGCCAGAAGATTGCACACCAAAAACATACAAAGCTGGATACAAAATACCTATATCTTCATCTCTGCAGCACAGTGACGATGGTGACGAAGCGGGGAACTGGTGTAGGCATTGTACCTCCGGTGATTTCCTCTCTTAACAGGCCACAGTGAGAGCAGTGGCTGATGATTTCGTTCAAATAGGACTCATTGAATAGGAAATTTCTAGGATCGACCTTCAATCTTCAAACGGTGCGAACAAGATAGCCACCTGGTTCAACTGATATTCTCTCCGCACAAGAAGGGTGAAATGGACAATAAGATAGCATTAAACAGATTAAGGACTTCCATGGAGGTAATTAAGCAAAGAAGGATTTGAACAGAAAAGAATATGTATTTATTCAATCAAATTGTCACTTGCTATCAGTTACAAGAACTTAAACAAGAACAAAGAAATGAAAAATATAGCAATCAACAGAAAGAAGAGAAGTGGGGGTTGGAAAATCTAGTTAGTTTAATCTACTCCTAAAATGGATAATTTAAAACAACTCCTAGATAACTCTTGCACAAAGCGCATACACCACCATTACCGTTTCAAGAAGACCACAAGCAACAGGACCTTCAAGAAGGAGCTCTTCAGGAGTCAAATGACAGGATTGGTGGAAGATGTGGGTCTTCAAAGTCATCACCGAAACAGGAACCTTCAAGAAGGGAGAGTTATATATAGGTTATAGACTAGTTGGACCCACACGCTGTGACAACCCTACTCTGTATTATGCTAATTAATCTTAATTATGCTTATAATTATGAGCTTGATATGATTTTGAATGCCATTTATGTGATGAAATGTGTTTTTGAAATCCTATCTGTTCACCGTAGGAAAATCTGTTTGAATTTTCTCTTATAAAAATTAAATTGAAGGCCGTAGAGGCGATAGAAGCCGAAATTGACTGTATTTTTGCGATTAGCATGATTTTTAGAGCCTACGGTGAAAGTTAATTAAAAGTTGATTCGGAATGAATTAATTAGATTAAAGTGATCAAATTAAGCACAATTGATTAGTGCTAATTAAGGTTGATTTGAAAGGTGTATATATAGAAGCTTTGAGTGCTTAAGCTCATTACATGAGCTCAAAATCTGAAAATAAACACTCTAGAGAGAGAGTGAGCCAATTCTAGAGAGAGGAGAGGCTTAACATTGAAGATTTAGCAAGGGAATTGGAGATTTAAGTGGATTAGCACAAGATCTAACTATATTTGAGGGAAATTGGAACCTCTAGGTGAGTAATCAACCCTTAATCCATGAGTTTAAGCCTTCAATTATGTGAACTCAAAGAGAATTGACAATCAAGAACAAGATTTGAATGATATATGATAATATTGAAGACAACATAACCATGCATGTAAAGAATTGCCATGTATATGCATAATCATGAAAAATTGAGCATCAAATCACTCATGCATGCATAGTTTTGTTGACCTTCATGATTATAAGCATCATTTGTACCATTTGAAATGGAGTGAGAGTCAATGAGTTACATGCATGCATAATCCATGGAGGTATGTAGCTTGGTTGCATGTGTTTTGAAGTTGTCAAGGAGAAAATGAAGTAATTTGAGAATTTGATCATGGTTTAGGGGCAATTGGCTTCAAACTATCTAAGTTTTCATGCTATGTAATGTTTTTCCATGATTTGGTACCAAATTGCAAGTTTTGGACCTTTGGGAGTGTGTTTTGAACTTCAAACAGAGTTCTGAAAATTTCAGAATTCGTCATGTCCGCTCGAGCGTGAAAAGTACCACTCGAGCGTAAAAAATTGAGCTCCTAGAAGTTTGCAAAATTTTATAGACCGCTCGAGCGACAAAAGTAGCGCTCGAGCGAGCACCCTTTTTACTCAGTATTCCGCTAGAGCGACCATCGAGCGGAAAATTCATGCAACTAGAAGTTTTACAGAGTTTTACAGACCACTCGAGCAGCCAAAGATGCGCTCAAGCGGAGAGCCCTGTTTCAGAAATTTTGAAAAGTTGTTTTATGATTCGTTTTCCGTTCTCTTTCATCTTTAAGCACTCTTAGGCATGTATTGAACATCCTAAATGAATTAAAGGACACCCTAAGAATGTCAAGCAAATTAAAGAACGGATTGAATTATATTATGACCCAGTGTGTTATAAATTATGTAGGGTCAAGTGCAAGGGGGAATCATGCACCAGAACATTGTGAGTAAGAATTATAAGTTCCATACTTAATCTCTCTGTCTTACTATACTGTACTCTCCATTCTGATGGAATTGTCAGGTTGAAGTAGAGTGTAAGGAAGATCCTGAGGGTCTTGCCCTTCGATTGGCTGGCAAAGGAGCTGTTTCTGCTGCCTTAGAATTGGCTGAAAGTGCAGGATTATCTATTGATTTGCGGAGAGAACTGAGAGGGCGTCAACTTGTGAAACTTCTTATAGCAGACCCTCTGAATGGTGGAGGTCCAGCTGAAGCTTCACGTTTTCTTTCTTCCCTACGTGACACTGATGATGCTCTTCCAGTTGCCATGGGTGCAATGCAGCTGTTGCCTAACCTGCGGTCAAAGCAGCTTCTTGTGAGTGATTGTTTTTGTTTTATAAAATATCATTTCTTTTATTTTTCTTCTTTTTTCGAAGGAAAAAAAAAATTGCTTCGAAATTTATGACATTTTGTTCTTTAACTAGAGCCATGTTCTTTATGAAGGTCCACTTTTTCCTGAAGAGAAAAGATGGTAATTTGTCAGAAGTTGAAGTTTCTCGGCTTAACTCATGGGCCTTGGGTCTTCGTGTTTTGGCAGCCTTGCCGTTGCCATGGCAGCAGAGATGTTCTTCCCTGCATGAGCATCCTCATTTGATTTTGGAGGTTCTGCTGATGAGAAAACAGTTGCAATCTGCTTCTCTGGTATTTTTCTCCTTCTGGACCTTCTTTAGTTCCTGTACTTGCCACTATAATTTCCACCACAACTTGTTTGTATCTCTCATCTGATTATCCCTCCAACAGATACTTAAAGAACTTTCTTCATTGAGAGACAACAGCTTAATTCTTACATATGCTGCCAAAGCTATTGCTGTCAGTATTAGCTCTCCTTCCAGAGAGCCTCGGATATCAGTTTCAGGTCCACGGGCAAGGCAGAAGACAAAAACAGGCATGCCTACAAGGTCGTCTTTTAGTAGCAGTTTGAGTAACTTACAAAAAGAGGCTCGCAGAGCTTTTTCTTGGACTCCACGTAATGCTGGTGATAAGACTGCTCCAAAGGACACTTACAGGAAAAGAAAGAGCTCTGGATTAGCGCCATCTGAAAGGATTGCTTGGGAGGCAATGGCTGGTATTCAAGAGGACCGTGTTTCATTGTACCCTGCAGATGGACAAGAACGGCTTCCTTCTGTTTCAATTGCTGAATGGATGCTTACAGGTGATCCAAATAAGGATGATGCTGTTCGTTCTTCCCATCGATATGAAAGTGCCCCTGACATTATTCTCTTTAAGGTATGACAGGACTATAAACCATAAGTCGGTGATTGATATGATGCAAAGTGGTTTACGTGGCTTAGCTAAGTTAATGCTGGTATCTCTATCGTGGGTCAGTAGCCCATGGCATGTGATAATGTGAATCAAAGGTTGACTGTAAAAATAGATGTATTATTGATTGATATATTACAAGATTGTTGTGTTACAAGATTGATTAATTACAATTCCTATACAATCTATATATAGAAGAAAATGTGGTAGTAGGTGTAGTGGAGGTGATAGTGGGTTAGGTGAAGTGGAGTGTGTGGTGAAGTGGAGGTAGGTGAAGTGGAGTGTGTAGTGGAGTAGGTGAAGATAAAGATGGGAAATTCTAACAGCCCCCCGCAAACTCAAGGAGGAGAGAAACTAACCAACTTGAGTTTGGAGAGAGTAACAAAACAAGAAAATACATAAAAATAAAAAAGGATAGGAGACACTGTATGGTCGTGTCAGACCGTTGGTGAAGACACTGAATGGTGGTGTCATAACGTTGTAGAGGACACTGTATGGGGGTGTCATAACGGTGTAGAGGACACTGTATGGGGGTGTCATAACGTTGTAGAGGATACGGTATGGTGATGGCATAATGGTGTAGAGGACACGGGATGGCGGTGTCAGACCGCTGTAGAAGACAGTTTATGGGGTCATGTCGGACCGTTGTAGAAAAACAGTTTATGGGGTCATGTCGGACCGTTTGTAGAAGACAGGTTATGACAGTTTACGGAGTCTTGCTGGACCCTTGTAGAAACTAACCGGAATCAATGTCGGGACAGTTTACAGAGTCTTGTCGGACCCTCGGTGAACGTGGCACCCTCAAAAGGCGTGCCATCAAAAGGCGTGCCATGAAAAGGCGTGCCATCAAAAGGCGTGCCATGAAAAGGTGTGCCAGGTTGTCGGCGTCAAAAGGCGCGCGATGCGCGTGGCTGCCTCTGGGTCATGGTCTTTACAAACCGAAGCGGAGGAGGCAGAAACTGAGACAGAAAAACTGAGAGAAACCTCTGAAAAATTCGTCGTTTTGTTGAGAAAGAGAGGTTTTGCTGAGAAGATACTCTGTAACAGAGAGAAACCTCTGAAAAATTCTTCGTTTTGCTGAGAGAGATAGTCTATAACACTCTGTTGCGAGAGATATTCTGTAAGACTCTGTTGCGAGAGATATTCTGTAACACTCTGTTGCCTAGAAAATGGCCTCTTCGTCCCGCCCTCTGCTTACTCTCTTTCCCGACCTCAACGAGTCCACAAGAGAGATAACTGGTGCGGTGTCCCGTGAACCACAACCAAACACCTCTGGGTTTGCTCCGTTGAACTTTCCGATGCAGTCACACCATATGTTAACACTAGTGGCCACCCCTTGTTATACGTTGAAGGCATGTGTGGAGTCCATGACGGCGGTCACAAATCTGTCGCACCGGCTACAGAGTAGGACAAATGAGGTGCAGCAGTTAAACTCCCAGCTGGCTCTGCTCCAACGCATGTATAAGGATGCGCGAGCAGAGATGAGCGTGCTAAGGGCAGAAAACAAGGAGTTGAAGCGGAAGGCCACCGTGATGTTCCGATTTGGAGGGCCGCCATATGCTGCAGTGGAGGAGCAGGGGGGAGTAAATGTGCTCGGTGGCGTGGGAAATCCGGAGGCAACACCGTCAAGGGCCGTCCAAGACGGAGGAAAAAAGAATTACATAAAATGTTAACTTCCCTCATTTACTACAAAATGGTAAAAATCATTCTACTTCACAACACTTACATAGGGTTCAACATCTTCTGGCAAATACTCGTCCTCAAAATAATTATCATCATTCCCCAAGTCCCCTGTACAACAATAAGGAAGAGTGATATGATCACCATAAATGGAGATGCTAGAAGAAGGGAAGACCTAAGCTGACATGAGATGCAACAATGAAAAAATATATGAATTTATTTAATTTAACTGAGCATATAGCCCTTGATGGAACATAATGGCAAAAAAAGATTATGCAGCCAATGACCACACTTGATTAGGACACAAGGCTTAGTTTGGTTTAGTTAGTTTGATTTTGACAGATCCTTAAGCTTTTAATATGTGATTATCTGAAAGCAAGAATAAATTCACTGCTTGAATAAATTACTGAACAAATTCATAATAATAGCAGTTAGTCCTGATTCTGAAGCCAACCAAAATATTTATAGGGAAAAACACTATTTTAAAATGTCTAAACTGCAAACAATACATATCAAATGAAATGGTTCTGCAAAACCACTGGATATTAAGTCATATTAAAAGATCTCTTAAAGATTTCTACTCCATTTTTTCTTTTCAAAGAATGTAACAGAATCTTTTGCAGAACTCAAGGTTAAATACTATCCATCTAAACAAACATAACTTACCAAAATTGTATCACATGGGTATTATATATCACATGGGCATCCATAATATCTGACACCTATCCATTCTAATGACACACCTCAATTGTATCATAAGGGCATCCATTGCCCTCTCTTTTAGGTTAATCACCTTGAGTCACATCAAATAAATGTTGAACAACAATTTTAACTCCCCAAGTTTCAGATAGCGTTACATAACCTTCTCTTATGATAAAAGCCTAAAATACCCAAGCCCTGTGCGAGTTTTTTAATTTATATTTTCTGAAATAAGTCTCCTCTCCAACCTTGACCCCCTAAATAAGAACTAATGCACTTGCCTGGTTAAAATTGATGACCCCAAAATTAAAAATAACAAAAAAAAGAAGAAAAAAAAAAAAAGAAAAAAGAAAAAAAAGGAGAACAAAATTTGAAGGACTTACTGATATTTTTGTACTCATTATGTATAACTCCCACAAAATTGGCCAAAGATGTGTTAAGCTTAAGCTTTTTGGAAATAGGCCCAACAATGTGTAAGACATATACAAATTATTTATCTTTATCTATGACACATGTGTCCGTACTTGTTAGATTTTGTGCTTTGAAATTTCATCCCAGCCTCAAAAGGACGAACATTGTGGAAAAGAAAGGAGGGAGTAACTAATTACAGAGTAGGCAATATTCACCCCCTCTGGGCACAAACATGCACACTTTCATAAACAATGCCCAACTTTATGAACAAAAAAAAAAAAATACAAAAACAAAAATTCAATCGCCCAAAATACCATCAAAACAAACAAACAAACAAACTTGAGAACAAAAATATTCAGAAACTCGAAGGAAATATACGAGGACAGTTAATCAAAGGAAGAAACAAAAGAAATTTTTTGGTATTTCTTAAACAAAAGAAAGATAAGAAGTGATTACCATCTTCAAATTCATCGAAGAGGAGGTGGTCTTCGTCGTCCATTGACACTTCTTGGACGATGGTTGGCTTCAAAACTGGCTGGGAATGTGAATTTTTCTTCCCGGCGTGGACAACAAAGGACTTGGAGGGAATTTGGGCAAATGGGTATTGTTAAACAATATGATGTATATTATTGATTAATTGATAATTACAAGATTGTTGTATATTTACAAAGAGATTTACACTCTCTTTATAGAGAGGAGAAAGCCAACATTGGGTGCCAATTGAGGCACCGAAAGCATAAAGCAAACTAAACATAATGATACCACTAGCATCACTAACATATAATACTAACATATTTTAACAGGTATGACCAAAACGGGAAGGAGAAATTATGGCAAATCCTGAGAAGGCAAACATTGTTGGGCCTAGTTGCTATTGTTGAACCCCAAACCCCACCACAAGCTTCCCTCAAGCTCCATGCTGTTAAATCCATTTTCTTCTCTCTCAGTCCAAGTGTAGTTTTTGCTGAGGATTTATACGCTAATTTTTATCTTGAAGATAAGAGTTTTTTTTTTTTTTTTTTTGAAAAAAATATTATAATAAATAAAATGTGAATAAAAGTAAATTTATTTTAGGGAGACTTATTTTAGACACTTATGGTAGGTTAAATTTCGTGTAATTTTTTATAGAGTCTCAAGTCTTATTTAGATAGGAATGTATTCCACAAGATTCTACATAAACGTAATGTGACATGACACTTACATAAACGTAACGTAACGTGACACCTACATAAACGTAACGTGTCACGTTACGTTTCGCAAACTTAATGAGTTTTTATTTTTTTAAATTAAATGTGAAAATGTAACTGGTTTATGTTGGTGTCACGTTACGTTTCATATGTTGAATGTTGCCATAGATCATAGGTGTCACATTACGTTTATATAGGTGTCATGTTACGTTACGTTCATATAGATGTGATCTATAATAACATACAATTTCTTATATAGGTAATTGAATGTTGTCATAAATCATAGATGTCACGTTACGTTTATGTAGGTGCCACGTTACGTTTATGTAAGTGCCACGTTACGTTACGTTTATGTAGATATGATCTATGGTAACATGCAGAAATTTCATATTACCATAGATCATAGGTGTCACGTTACGTTTATGTAGGTGTCACGTTCCGTTATGTTTATATAAATATGATCTATGGTAACATTCAATTTCCTATATATAATTTTAGTATTATTTATGATATTAACAATTAATATTGAGGGTAAATGTGTCAACAAACTTCCCACATGACTTATGGGAACGTAAGTTTTTTAGTAGGACCATATGTAACATAAGTCTTCCTAACAGGACTTATAAATAATTTTCTTTTTATTTTATTTTATATTTTTATATTTTTTAAATGTATATCTAAATTTATGATTGTTTAAATTTTTATATAAATTCACAATTGAAACACAGGGACAATATCCTTGCAAATTTTACTTTTCCATTCATGCATCATTAATAAGGCTGACCGAAGTAAGTAAGCAGAGAGACCAAAATAAAATTTTGATAAAAAAAACAAAGATTAAAGTGAAATTCTAATAAAAATATAAGAATGCGAATAAAATAAGAAAAAAGTATCATATATGATTCAAATGATAACTTCGGTTAATTTTATTAATAATTGATAGATAAAGAGTTAACATTACAAATTAACTTAAATTACAAGAATTAATTATCACCACGATTAAAAGTGGACGAACCAAAATTAAATTTTAATAAAAACAAAGGATCCAGGCACCAAGCCCATAGGAGAGTGTCAAAGCCCTGTTCGGCTTAAATTTTAAATAGAAATCAGTAACATTTGACCTGTTTGGTAACTATTTTATTTTTAATTTTTAATTTATATTTATAAAAATTTTAAAAGTTGTCATAAAAATTTATTTAATAATTTTTTTAATTTATAAATAGTTGTTTCATTTTAAATTGTAATTATCATTATATTTAGGTCTTGTTTATCAACTATATATTTTAGTTAAAAAGTCAAAAAGTTATATATAAGTTGTTACATCACTGTTTCTACTTTTCTGCATATCTTTTCGTAAAAAATCAAAAAATTACTAAAATAATATGTTCCCAAACGAGACCTTGATAACTAAAATAGTAAATGAAAAAAGTGTGGGTTAATTGAAACATATTTAAGGCGCATAATTTTGACATTACGTTGATTTTTTATCATCACTAAATAAAAATTAGATTTGATTAAATTTTGAATTGATATAGCTAAGGATTAATAGTGCCCCATGAATCAAAATCTTGGCTCTGCCAAACCAAACTAAATCAAGAGTTAAGTCCTATCAAATGGGATCGGCTGCATGAATCTTTCTTCTTCACTTGACTCTATCTAAGGTCATTTCGTTAGTCAAATTAAGAAGATTCATATCTCTATTTACTACACTAGTTCACGTCAATCTAAGTCTACTACTTCTCTTAACACTACTATCCACTGCCACTGTATCACATTTCCTTAATACTACTTCTGTTGGTCTCCGTTGTATATAACCAAACCATCTCAATTTATTCTCCATTGTACGAGCATGAAATAATGTTCTCGTATAATCCTGTTGATCAAGTCTGCGCACCTCCAAACGTCATCACTTTACTCCCTAAAAACACAAACTTGAGCTAGCCGGTGGGTGTGTGCCAGATACCTCTCCGATGCCTAAGTCAGCAAAATAGACAAATAGACAAAAGCTCTGTGTATTCGAGAATCAAAGTTGTGTTACCTGTACATAGGTTATGTTGTGAGCTTTTATAGTTTTTTCCTGGCACAATCCTAGTAGGACTCTTATTCCTCCATGTAAAGTCCTCCGAGGAATCACACTCCTGAAAGATAATGTTTATCGTTCAACACCCCTCTCACTGCTTAAACCAAGTGAGATGGTTTTACCTTGGTTAAATGACAGTATGACCAAGCTAACACTAGCCCTTTGCCATGCTTAATCCAGCACCTTCACATGCAACATATAGCTTGGTTCTTGTTCACTTATACCTCGGTTTTGTTTGTTAAGACCGAGTTAACTACACTAACTTTTGACCGAGCTAACAAGAGCAAAATCCACCATAAGAAGCCAAAATACCTCAGCTCCGAATACTATGACCGAGCTTATAGCGATCCCGGTCTTTCCCCATTTGGTTGTTGTATCCGGACTTAGGTTCCGTGGAGCTTGTTGTTGTATATATCTCAATGTCATCCTTTGATTCCTTATTTATGAGTAATAGGATGTGTTGGGCAGGTTTGTTACAGGTTTGGTGTGATTGGGAGCAAATGGTTGCTGCCCAGTTTTTGGTGTCTTCGCTCGAGCGAGAACTATGTCGCTCGAGCGAGCTCTGTGTTTTAGGTCCTTCGCTCGAGCTAGGGTTCCTTCGCTCGAGCGAGAGTTGAGTTTTGTATCTGGTGGCTCGAGCGAGAAGTCCTTCACTCGAGCTTGCGTCTGCGTCTGATTCTGGACCTGAGAGCTGTGTTTCTTGGCTCGAGCGAGCTTTCCTTTGCTCGAGCGAGCGAGGTCTAGGTTTTGAGTTTCTTTGCTTGAGCGAGCATTCTCTCTCTCTCTACACTTATCTTCTCTCTAGGAATTGATCTACTTCTAGTGAGTTCCTACCCTAATCTCTTTGTAAGAAAGGTAGAGGGTTGTATGGGCTACATTTTAATCTGAAAAATCTTGGATTTGGCGCACTTTGGGTTTTGGTCATCTTCTCCATTTGAGCTCTTCATTTCGAGGTAGGGATACCCTACTCCATCCTATGAGTTTTGTCATAAATTTTGGGCATTTTGATATGTTGGGGTTGTTGGGTAATTTTTGGAAAAGTTAGAGTTTGTTTGGTAATTTCTAAAAGAGGGGTTTTCCATGTTTGAGTCATGTTTGTGTTATAGACTTGAAACAGAGGTTGTTTATGGATTATGGGTGAAAAATGAGCCTTAGGGCTATTATTGGAAAAAGGGGGAAAATGCCCTAATTGTAATGAATAATTAATTTGGGGAAATGTGAAATTGAGTTGAAAATAATGAAATTGGGAGATTATGGGATTAAGTGGTGTAGTTGGATTAATTTATCACTCACCTATGAAAATGTTGATATTATATCTGTTAATGCATTTATGTTCTATTTAGAAATATCTGCTTTGGGCTATCGGTGGAGGATAGTCTTGATTGTTGTAGACCCTACATGTTGATTAGGGAAAACCGAAACTAATCACATTGAATATGTCATCGAATATGACAGTTGGAATAATACATCAAATATGTGTATTGAGTGATCCCTGTATATGATAATTGTTTATATACTTGGAATATGTGTATTGTGTGGGAGGAGATAGGGGATGGACTCCATTAATACAACAAATATGTGTATTAAATTGAAGTATTGATACAACAAATATGTGTATCTATTGTGAAATATGGAAGTGTTAGTATATGAGTCTATAACTCATATACTAACACCCTCAAAAGTATTACAAATTTATACTTTTTAAGTGTATTTATGTTAGGTGTATCTAAAAATTAAAAAAAAAAATTGCTTAGAATATTAAAAAAAATCAATAAAAAAAAACACAGAAAAATAAAAAAAAATTATTTTTTAAAAAAGTGAATCCTAAAGATCCAAACCAAACATGCAAATGGTATTATGCTAAATGTGTGAATGCGACTAACTGTATTTTCTTTTAGGACTGGGCTTTCCTCCGATCCGTGTTCGGACTGAAGGATACTGTTCAGCCAACGGGGATTGGTAAAGGATAACCCAATCAATTTTCTTTCAAAAAGCCCCTGAGTAGGAAATGCCTACCTTAATAAGGACATTTTATAATTTCTATTTTTTTATGACAATATTGCCCTTCTATATATATGTATCATATATTTGAAATCTGAGCTGTATACGATCTGCTACAATTTGCGAAATCAAGAACGAAATCAATGAAAACGATCTCCAAATTTGAAGATCTCGCAGCCTAAGATCTATCCCTTGGTCAACAATAGACGATCTCGCTGATCTCTCCCTTGGTTAACAATAGATGATCAACACTCTCAATTAAACGAGAGTTTCATTGAGATTTGTGAGTGTTGATCGAGTTTTAGAGGTTTTTCTTCTCAATTAGGTATGTTGATTTGTTGATTATTTATTTATTTATTTATTATTTATTTTTGTTGTGTTTGATCTGATTTTGTTTGACAAAATCAAAGTAAAATTTTACTCTGGTTCTATTGCTCTGTTTTTTGTTTGAGAGAATGAGTTTACTCTAGTTCTATTGCTCTGTTTTTTGTTTGAGAGAATTAGAGTAAAATTTTTACTCTGGTACGTGCTCTGTTTAGAATGAGAGTAAAATTTTTCTCTGATGTTAGAATGACAGTAAAATTTTACTGTCAAGAGGTGGTCATTGCCAAACACTTCAATCGCTACAAAATTTTACTCTGCCTCCGCTGACGTTGATCATGTTTGTTGCAACTTTTGCTTAGGTAAAAATAGCTTAGATAAGCTAAAATTTTGATTATTGAGAAGATAATATGTTCTTTTAGCTTATACATTTTAGTTATCGATTTTTAACTCGCAAAAAATTGCACCGAACAAGTTCATTGTCTGCAAAGAATACCATTTCTATGTGTTTGTGTAGGTTTATATATATGTATATCTATACACAAGTTATTAATAATTCATAATCACGGTTTGTGTTGGAATTGGGTGGGCATGAACTATTTTTAGACCTAGAGAACTTCATAAAGCTTTCTGTAACATTTTACTTTTATTTCAGAGTAAAATTTTACTTTTAGATTCTTTCTGTAACATTTTACTCTTATTTCAGAGTAAAATTTTACTTTTAGATTCATGTCTCAAGTTGTGTTGGTGACACACTGTATGAGTTGTCAATTTTTGGCAAACCAAATAGTAAAAATTAATTCTAAAATATAGTACAATGTTACACTAAACCACAGTAAAATTTTATCAATTCAAACTAAATACAAATTGACTTTTGGACTTATAGTGACAGTAAAATTTTACTTTGATAATGAAAGTAAAATTTTACTTTGATTGACAGTAAATTTTTACTATTAATTGATTGCAGATTTGTAAAATGGTTCCACATCTTATGTTGTTATGCAAGTATGGTGATCGTACCATTGTGTTCAAGGTTGTGTCAAACTGCACGTTGAAAGATTTAACTAATTTCTTAAGTTGTAAATTGAAGAAGTTTGACAGTTGTGGTTGCATATTGTTATCATACTGTTTGCCTGAACATTCGCAATGCATGATTGACGATGATTTTGATTTTCAGAATATGTTATCACTTGTTTATCCCCTTAGTGTTGACCAGGTTTATGTGACTATTACTGAAATAGGCATTTCAAATGAAAAACATGGAGTTAGAAAATCAAGGGACGCCAGTGAATCCATCATTACTGATGATGAAATGGATTTACTCCCTATGTTTTGTCAACATGAAGAAAGGACTTTGTTGTCTTGTGGATGGATGAATGGAATTACTCATGTAGGTTAAAGATTTATTGGAGGTGCAAAGAATTTCTGGACTGCATTATGTAAATATATCATTGATATAGGATTTGAGTTTGTGTATGTGAAGAATGAGAAGTGTTGGGTCACTGCTGTGTGTTCAATGCGGGAGTCCAAAGCTTGTTTATGGCGAGTACATGCATCTCTAGAAAGCGCTAATAATTTTTTCTACATTAGGACTCTAAATGATAAGCATACTTGTGGAGTTGCAGTTTGTACTTCTAAAAACTCAAGGATGAGTTCAAATTTGGTTGCAAGTTTGATAGTTAATGAAGTTTGTGGGAATCCCCAAACTCATCCAATTGATGTTGTGCGTCAATTTACAAATCAATACGGGCTCACCATTACGTACAATCACGCTTGGTTGGGAGTTGAGAAAGCTAGGACTACTACTTTTGGAGATTTCTCTATGTTTTATGATGAGATTCGATGGAATATGGATATTGTAATGAGCACAAATCCTATTAGCTATTTGCGTCTTGACTATAACCATCAAAGTGAACGGTTCAAGAGGTTTTTGTTGCGTTTAATGCTTCCATTCAAGGGTTTAGGCATTGCCGTCCTTTATTGTTTATCGATGGAACTTTTCTGAAGGGGAAATATAAGGGCACCTTATTAACAGCTACAGAGAAGGATGGGGATCAAGGTAGATATTACTATAGTTTATTCAAAAGTAACAAGTTACTTATTCTCAGAGTAACATGTTACTTATTTTCAGAGTAACATGTTACTATTACTCAGAGTAAAAATCTATTATATTTGTCATTTTCGTTTAATATACTTACTTATTGTAAAATGTTATTTTTCAGGTTTTTTCCCTCTTGCAATGGCAATTGTCGATACGGAGACCATAGATAGTTGGGAATGGTTTTTTATGCGTTTGTCGAATATATTGTTAGATGAAAGACCAATTACCTTTATATCTAATCGGAATGCAGGACTCTTTGAGGCTTTACCCAAGGTTTTACCTACTGCTTACCACTATTTTTTTCTCCAACACTTGAAAGCCAATTTGAGGGATAGGTTCTCCAGTCCAAGTTTCAGCAATACTTTCAGGAGTAAAATAGTTTTTTTGTTTTCTTCATGTGCTTATGCTTCGACAGTGGGATGTTTTAATCAATGCTTGAAAGAATTACAAGATAAGGGAAAAGGGATCGTTTGTAAGTTTCTATCCAATTTTCCCTATGACAAGTGGACTAATGCATATTTCATAGGACAAAAATACGGTGAAATGCACTCGAATGTGACAGAGTCTTTCAATTCATGGATCCTTCAAGCTCGCCATTTGCCCACTATGAAGATGATTGATTCAATTAGGTTGAAAATCATGGATTTGATGTCGAGAAGGAGAGAACAAAATAAGAAATGGAATACTTTTCTTTGTCCGGAGATGGATTCAACATTAGTAAATGCTCTTAAAAGTAGAAGAATTTGGTTAGTTAGTCGTTCAAGTGATCATGTTTTTGAGGTTCAATCCTGGCTATCGGTTAGCGTTGACCTCTTGAATAGAACTTGCCCATGTTACCAATGGCAATTGAATGGATTTCTTTGCGCTCACACGGCGACCGCTATCCAAAAGAGCGGAGGTGATTTGTATGCACATGTGGAACCATTTTATTACATTAGTAAGTTCAAAGCTTGCTATGCTGAGTCCGTTTATGCAAAACCCATTGCTGAGAAACCTCTTGTAACTATGGATGATCTTATTGTCCTTCCTCCAATTTGTAAGAAGCCACCTTGTAGGCCAAGGAAGAATAGAATTCCATCTAGGGGTGAGAAGATAAGACGAGTACAGTGTGGTAGATGCGAGAAGTACGGTCATAATAGAAAGACTTGCAAGGAGACATTGCCGTAAAAGACATTATTGATTTTGTAATAGAAATATGAAAATAATGCAGTTCTTCTGCAATAAATAGTCCATAGCAATAATAATATAGTAGTTTAGACTAGATTTGTAAGGAGACATTGCAATAAAAGATATTTTTACTATGTTCTTAAATGGTTGTTTGTTCAAGTTTCTGATTTGCTTTGTGGTTGATGTGACGCCCCAAATTTTAAGGATATCACAATAAGATTTAGAACTTAAAATCAATGTTGCCACCAAACATCATTAACATCCATTAATTAACAACCCATAAATTTAAAGTTTTTAAATTACAATTCTAATAAAACTTAAAACTTAGTCTCGGTACGTAAAAAAAAAGATTACACAAATATAAAAGAAAATTAGAGAAAAACTAGGAAAACTTAGAAAATAGTTTGTGGAACTTGGGGACTCTTCAAGCTAACCAAGACTGAATGTCGCCTTGCAAGGCCTCGGTGTTTCCTTATTTTCTTCGGTACCTGGCATAAAATGCCAGGGCAACGAGAATGCCAATGAGCGACGAGCTCAATAATATACTACAACCCGGAAATACCCACCCTGATAATAATACCCACAATTAATGAATAATGCGTAGTAACAAAATAACATGTAGCATTTAATAAGCATAATAGGAATGCCAACAGTTAAAATAATAATAATAGATAAATAAATTGATAAATAAAAAAAATGGCAAACGGAAATAGTAATTCATCATAAGGAGAATGCACACTTTTCTTTTTAAATTCTCATTAATTTAGTTTATCAGATAAATTTAAGTAACTCCTCGTAGAGCATTATTTCCACTCAACCGCTAAGCAATGGCCATGAGCAATTCTGACCCCCCCTTGGTCAAATATTCAAATGTTACTTGCTGTAACTACCAACGATGCCCACGCACCAGGGTTACGTACCCGAGTCGTGACATCACAGTCTGTCCCAAGGGAACGGTCTATGTTGTGACACCCGCACCACCAACCTTATATCGCCTACACCGATAAGAGCCGAAATACCTTCTCGTGCCATGTTAGGGTTTGCAACTCACTGGCGCAAGCTTCTAAACCGGGCTCACCCGTCACTTTTAAATTTTTAATGTATCATCGGTTCAATTTCGTGTTTCTTTACTTCGTCGAATTTACATTTTTATGCATGCGCGAGTTTTAGTTTGAGAACCACAGTGACCTAATATTTATATAGCATGACACAATCATATATGGCAACCAAAATAAATGTGATAGAATGTCTTAGAAATCATCACAAAATTTCTTAAGAATTCACACGATTCTTCTTTTAGCACTGTATGGTCAGACAAAAAAAATATGAAACCCATACCAAATGATATTCAACCATTATAATATTTTAACTAGTGCTAGTTCATCGAATCAGGAAAATATTTTGAGAAGAATACCAGGGCTAAAAATGATTTTAAAATGGATAAATAATTTTTGGAAGAAAACTGGTTTTCTACGACAGTGAGTTATATTACCCTCCAACACAGGTGTTCTATGTTTGAAAAATAAAAAGGGGCCTGAAACGGTGTCGAAAAGAGGCATGGTCAGAACGGTTTGCTAATTTTTTGATTTTAGAACATATTTACAGAAGGGTGTGAAGATTGAAAACCAGTCGAAGATGGTCAAATAATTTTTATAAGAAAACTGGACAGATTCTGTCACATTTTGGAAAAATTGGCGTTTCTCTCTCAATACTTAATAAAAAAATTATGAGACCAGCGGCATTTGAAAGGTAACTTACAAATATAACTTTTCCAATTTGAATCACTTGAAAATTCATTCTGTGGAATAAACAGTGACTTGGTAAAGTCAGCATTGTTGTTGCCTCCAAACAGTAATGAAGTTAAAAATATATTCAGGCCATGAAACGTTGTCAAATAATTTTCTTCAACATTCTAAAACCATGAAAACATGTTAAACTAACTCCAGTAGTTTCAGATTTTTTTTGAAAGCGTTCTCATGAGTTTGTTTAGGGTTTATTCAAAACGGACTAAAATCTGTTTTGCTGGAAGTTTATTAGTTTTGCGAAAAACACACTTTGTATCTACCATGAATCACATGCAAGACTAAAAAATTGTTTCTTACTATTATTTCCATGTGAAACTCTAATCCTTCATATTTACTTTCATTAGTGATAACATAAAATAATATTGACAAAAAGTAAACACAAATTCATAAGCATGCGAGATTGATTCAACAATGGAGAATACTCGATCACATAAAGAGCAAAATCATTAGCTAAGCCACCTAACCCATATTTGTAAAAAGGACAGAAATCACATAATCATAAGATTATCATTCTATCCAAATGTAACATGCATTGAGTATTTGCGTATTATCAATACACATTCTTGCATATTTTTAATGTGTAGATTTAAGAAAAACATCTAAGGGAGGATAAGGGTTGAGTATTTTTACCTCAATGAAGTAAAAAAAAAAAATCCCAAGTGTTGAGCCTTTCTTCCCCTCTCTTCTCTCCTTTCCCTCTTGCTTTCTCTCCCCCTCTTTCTTTTTGTTTTGCTCAGTTACGTGTGTGTGTGTAATGGGGTTAAATAATGCTCCTAAATATAGGAGTTTAAGGGCCTAATTTATTATTATTATTACTATTATTATTTTATTTTTACTTTACTTCTCTTTTAGCTTAGGAACTATGATCTAAGGCCCCGTTGTTTTGGGAGATAAAATGGAGGGGATTGATAGTGAGGGAATTAATAGTGGGGTGATTGTTAGTGAGGGGATTGATAGTGAAGGGATTAATAGTGAGGGGATTGATAGTGAGGAATTGTTAAATTATTTTTATATAAAATAATAAAACAAATAAAAAATATAAAAATTAAACATTAGTATTTTCAAAAAATTCCCAATATATAAAAAATAAAAAAAATAAAAAAATTTCTAATCCTCTCACTATTTTTCTAATACCATCTCTACCTTCTCCTTACCAATCCCCCTTCCTTCTCCTCCTTACTAGTCCCAAGGGATTACTAGTCCCCTCCCTATCTCTCAAAACAAACGCCCCATTCTCAATCCCCTCATCACTATCAAACCCAATCCCCTCCCTATAACCCCAAACAAACGAGGCCTAAGAAAATAGATTACAGTTGGTTTGCATGCTGTGGCAACCTTGACAAAGGCTTGAAATTGCCATCTATGCATGTAGGCATGGAGTGTGGCAGTGAGCAAAGGCATGCATTGGCATGCTTGGGCCGAATTTCTCTGCCCAACATAAATTTTGATTTCTTTTTTTTTTGTATAAAATAAAAATCAATTGAATATATATATATATATATATAATCTAGTCAAGATATTTTGCTCCCTACTATTCTCTTACTAACTTAGTTATTATTTGTTTAACTCATTTAGTTTCCACAATTATACTTAGATACAATTTTTATTTTTATTTTCACAGAAAGATAAATAATTTTATTTAAAGGAATCTAATATTGGTATTAACAATGATGCTATTAACATTATAATTCAATAATTTAATAATCACTGTTAACTGACTTAATATTATTATTAATCAAACTAATTAGTTGTCTAAAAATTCAAGTTCTCACAGCCTATCCTCCGTAAATAATTTCGTCCTTGAAATTTTAACGCGTACCTTTATCTTCAAACAACTGAGGGTAATTGGCTCGTATTGCATCCTCTCTTTCCTAAGTAGACTCCTCCACTCCTCGATGCTGCCACAACACTCGCACCAAGTGGATGACTTTGCCTCGTAGGTTCTTTTCTCGTTGATCCATAATCTTTATAGGCCTTTCCTCAAAGCTTGCATCTTCATTGAGATCAATCTCTCCCCAGTTGATAGCATGGGAAGGATATGGCTCATATTATGTCGCCTTGCAAGGCCACGATGTTTCTTTCATTTTCTTTGGTACCTGACATGAAACGCCAGGGCAACGGGAATGCCAATGAGCGACGAGCTCAATAATATACTACAACCCAAAAATACTCACCCCGATAATAATAATCACAATTATTGAATAATACGTAATAACAGAATAACATGTAGCATTTAATAAGCATAATAGGAATGCCAATAGTTTAAATAATAACAATAGATAAATAAATAAATGGCAAACGGAAACAATATTTCATCATAAGGAAAATGCACACTTTTCTTTCAAAATTCTCATAGATTTAGTTTATCAGATAAATTTAAATAACTCCCCGCGGAACACTATTTTCACTCAACCGCTGAGTAATGGCCACGGGCAATTCTAACTCCTCCTTGGTCAAATATTCAAATGTTACTTGTTGTAACTACCAATGATGCCCACGCACCAGAGTTACATACCCGAGTCGTGACATCACGGTCTGCCACAAAGGAACGGTCTATGTTGTGACACCCGCACCACCAACCTTATATCGCTTACACCGATAAGAGCCGAAATACCTTCCCGTGCCATATTAGCATTCGCAACTCACTTGCACAAAATTCTAAACCGGGCTCGCCCTATCACTTTTTTTAAAAAAAAATTTAATGTATGATCGGTTCAATTTCGTATTTCTTTACTTCGTTGAATTCACATTTTTATGCATGTATGAGTTTTAGTTTAAGAACCACAGTGACATAAGGTTTATCCAAGCACAACACAATCATATATGGCAACCAAAATAAATGTGATAGAATGCCTTAGGAATCATCACAAGATTTCTTAAGGATTCACACACTTCTTCTTTTTCAGCACTGTATGGTCAGACAAAATATATATATATATATATGAAACCCATACCAAACGAAGTTCAACCATTATAATATTTTAACTGGTCCTAGTTCATTGAGTTAGGAAAATACTTTGAGAAGAATATTAGGGCAAAAAACGATTTTAAAATGGAGAAATAATTTTTGGAAGAAAACTGGTTTTCTGGGACAGTGAGTTACATTAACCTCCAGCACAGGTGTTCTGCGTTCGAAAAATAAAAAAAGGGCCTCAAACGGTGTCGAAAAGAGGCATGGTCAGAACGGTTTGCTAA